AACTGTCGTGGAAAACACACTAATCTTTTTTCTCTACTGAAACGTTATTTTTTCATTTGACTTTACTGCCGTATCTCTGGCATTTCTCACAAAAATATGAATACTTTGTACAACGCTTTTTTAGCTGATTTATCAGTTAGTATGGCAAAGGCCTGAATTACGTTTTCGTTCTATTGTTTTTCTCCCAAATTTTACCTTGTCACTTCCTAGGTTGCGCAAGTAATGACTTCAGCATAACAAAAAACTCCATTTTTTAAACCCCGGTTTTACGAAGGGATTTTTGTAGCAGTTTTCATAAAACCGAGTTTCCGCTCTAAATTACTTTTAGTCATTTAGAACTGCTGAGGAGATAAACTCTTGTTTACTGTATCAAATACATAATAAACGATTATCTACTGTGTACACCACGTCCTGTTCTGTTTCGCCTGTCGTCCGTTCAATTCATTTTCTTGATAAAACAACGGTTAAAAGCTAACTTCTTCTTTTCTTTTTTTTTATCGCTCATTATGCTCAGTTTTAGTGCTTACTTTGGAACTCATGTACTGATGGATAGATGAAAAACTTAGCAATTTTGCATATTTGTAGCATCCTTTTTAGATATGATTTTAAACAAAAATTAATCCTGTGATGTTGTAATACTCGACCGTGTGCATTGTTTCCATCCAACTGAAAAGCTCATAATCTCATCACCAGTAAGTCACTTGAGTGTTCTTTTATAACTAAAAATGAAACATTTTTTGGTTTCTTATTGTCTGCCAAGTGGACGTTTAAATTTACTGTTGATTGCTTAATTGTTGTTTTTTTGTCTTGTAGAAAACCTTACCAGCGTTCTCAGTTCTAGCAAATCTTATGAACATTCACGGTGTTACAATAACACTACTGGCGCTTTTGAGAAGATTTGACTTCAAGTGCGTCTCCTTGAAAGTAGGTGGCGTTGCGCTTGCAAAAGTCGGCTGGTGGAGTAACTTACGGTCTACGTTTGCTTCAGAAGCTGTTTGAGCCATAGTCAGCAAAATTTTGATGCGGTTTGTCATAGACGCAGAAAGAAATCTTTAGCACGTCTGCGAGTCATTTATCAGAAATGACGATGCAGTGCGCCTTAAAAACAAAAAGTTGAGCTTGTTCCTTACGTCTGTTAGATTTTTGTAGGAAAAGCGGTGAAGGAACTTTGCGAAGTACTGAAGCGCTTGTGCTGATCTCGTGATTGAATTGGCAAAGCCAAAATTAAGCTAAGCTTTTGGCATTAGCAACCTCGCAGGCAAACCAGCAGAATCTAAACATGCTATCTTGTTAACAATTTTGAACAGGATGTACGCCTCTGCAAATCTGCTTTACAGA